ACCGTCCCCCAGCGCGGGAGCCGGGGGATGCTGCGTTGCTGTGGCGACCCTCCCAGGGACCCGCCTTGGCCCACCAGGCTGCCTCTGGGGAGGGCTGAAAAAATCGGAAGCCCCCAGACCTTCCCCGGAGGGCCGCGGGGACCTCCCTAGCGGGTCTTTAGCTTTGATACTAAGTAGCAAAAGTGAGAACCCACTGGCCACAGCGGCCAGGCTGGGCCGAGGCGGGTTGGTCCCAGGCTTCCCTCCCCGCCGGCTTAACCCCCAAACCCCCCTGCCTGTTCTCCATGGAGCAGGGGAATGGGATGCTTTCAGACCTTGGGTCCCTGAAGACACACTGACCCGGAGAACTGTCAGGGCTCCCCACCCCCTCGAACATCCCTGTAGCAATTAGCATGTCCGAAGTCCACCAGCGGGCAGTTAAGTTTGCAAAAGTTTTTGAAGTTTTTGCAAGCCTCCAGCCTGCTCCTGCCAGAAGCCTCAAGGAGCGAATCCAGTTTCTTTTCCTGGAACCATCCCCAGCAACGTTATCTCGCGGACTCACCTAGCTTAAGCCCAGCCCGGGGCAGCGGAAGGCAGTCAGGCTGCATTTGGGAATCGGGGTCTAATCCACCCGCCTTCCTGTTTGCCGAGCAACCCCAGCCCCAGCCCCAGATCTGCCCTTGCTTTGAGCTGCTTTTAAAAACCTTGGCCTTCGGTGGGGACATATAAACAACCCCGGAGTTTTTAAACAACCACTCCACCGCTCTGGCAGCGGCTGCCGGAATTTAATTGCGGCCTTGGGGATCCTGTTCTCCTGTCCTGGGTGGGTCTAAGCAGGGTCAGCTTTTCAGTGCAATCAGTCCAATCACTTCCTGTTCATTTTAAGGGCGAAGGCAGGCAGGTGAGAAAAAAAGAAAAAGAAAAAAAAAGCTGTAAAGAGCAGCTACTCTTTTTTTTTTAATCTGATTAAATTATTGTCCCCTTTAAGGGGAGATCAATTTACTATCAGCTTTCCATGGTTCCAGGGCTCGTGGGATCTTGATCTCATGACAAGGAAGAGTGTTCACTGTTTTGCAAAGTGCTGTGGGAGTTCTCTATTTTTAAGCTTTATGCACCTTCCAGACTTCGATTCTGATTCTAAAACAAAACAAAATGTGCTGTTGGCTGTGCCTCTAGGGTTGCCTCCTGCCCTCTGTCTCCTGAAGGAGAGTTTCTGAGGGGTGTGGGCCAGCCTGGCCTCCTCCCCACCCCACCTCCCTTTATGTGGATTTGCTCAGGAGCCCATTCCCATGTAAAATCGCCTAATCCCTTCCCATCAGGAGCCTTGCTCCCAGAGAGGACCAAGTCCCCTGTGAGAGGGACCTGAAGCCCTGGGCCCTGGGTGTCCCTGGGATAAGGGCAGAGGGACAGAGCCAGGCCAGCGAGCAGCCTGGGCACTCCCCCGGCGCCCCACACGCAGGGGTCCCTGGCTTCCCTCAGGGTGAGTCAGGGTCGCTTCTGCTTCTGAATCTCCCTGCTCTGCCAGAACCCCCCCCCCTCCCGCCCCTCCTCCCAGAACTAGGTGATGACTAGAGACTGCGGGACTTGGAGCCTGTGGTTTCTCAAGCCACCTCGTGGATGTTGTCCTTTCCTTCTGAAAAAAGGAAAAAATCAGATAGATTGCTTCATGAGCTTCCAGGGGTTGTTTTTTGTGTGTGTGTGTTTGTTTGTTTGTTTAGCAGAAACCTTAATCACCACAGTGATTGGAAAATGACTTTTGATGGCTCTTTTTTAATCCAATTTGCTGTACTGAGTGAGGGTGGGTGGGCGACTACAAGATCAAGGTACAGAGCTCTGGGAACGAGTCCCCCTGTGTCGTGAGGGCACTTGGGGGGAGGACAGCAGAGAAGTCGGGTCCCTGGACGAAGCCAGGGCCCTTCCTGTGGGAACCTGCTCAGCCCGGAGCTGGAGCTGGAGGAGCGAGAGGCTCTCAGGCTTCCGCAATGCGGGGGCGGGGGTGAAAGGCAGCTCAGCCCACAGGCCCGGGCGCGGTGTGCACATCCCCGGCTCCCTCCGCACCACCCACCCACCACCTCCCAGGCCGCTTCCCCAGAAATCATTCCTGTACAATTTGGGCTGTACGTAAGCCTCAGACAATCCCTCTAAGAAGTTAATCAGGAAAGAATTACGCTGTTCCCAGTAATAAGGGGGGAAAATGTGAACCGGTGAGCAAGCCTGGCGATATTGATGAAAAGAGCGGCTAAGCTAAGCCATTCTTCCAGAGTCTTCTGAAGCCCTCGGCTTTAATCTTTGAAACTAAAGGGAGATTAAAATGATGGATTTCCCTTAAAATAGGTGAAAATCATGCCAGTTGCTTATCCGGGACCCCATCATGGGTCCCCCTGCCCCCACGGAGCCCCTCCCTTGTTTAGGGTCGGAGAGAGGTGTAGTGGACTATTGAGAAAACCTTGCCTGTGCTAGTCACCCCTTCTCTACAGGAGCAGCCTGGAGAGCTGTTGGGGAGGCGCCGGGCACGCTTTGTACAAGGGTAACATTACAGTCCGTTTAGGCCCCGCTGCACCGAGTCCGAAGGCACAGCACAGACACGCCTTCCGCCAGCTCAGAGCCTTGGTGCTGGTGGAATATTCTTTCCATAAGAAAGAAACTGGTCATGCCTCCGTGGGTACGACCGCCGTCCTGAGCTTGGCAGTAGATGTCATCGCGGCTGCATTGCAGGTTCCACTTCAGAGCTTTCTCTGAAACGCTAGGAAATGAGGGCTTCGAAATAAATGAGTTGTAACTGCAAGTTCAGCCTAATTGGAGCGGATTTCCATGCCAGTTCGAGCCGTGAGCAGCCGGGCCAGGAGCAGTGTGGGTAGGTCGCTGGGTAAAGGGTAGATATTTCGCCCAACTTCCTGATACTTTCAAAGCAAAGAAGTAAAACAAAATATGAGATACCCTTTGGCCGACAAGTCCCTTCTTGCCTGTTTGGTCTGCGCTAGAAAGAAAATGTTTGTGCTTCCTCGTCTATTGTATATCGCTTTCCATTCCCGTCGCTTTGTTTTTCTGTTTAAAGTTAAATTTTTTTTTAATATTCCCTCTATATTTGCTTATCAAGGATAAAATCTTTCAGACCAGCAGGCGTGTTAGTTTTAAATTGAACAAAAAATGTACCTAGTCTGAGGGGGTTTGTTGATCATGAGATGCTGCACATTATCTAAATGAATATGATTTTCCGGGATTTAATATTCTCTTCCTTCCCCACATGGAAAAAAACACATCCCTCCAAGATCAATCAAAGGCCACATAAGTGATCTTGGAGCCCCCAATTCTCTTTGCTTCCTGCTGCATTTTTTTAAACCAGAGGAGTAGGAGTTAAACTCCTAATGTTTTTTGTCTCCAATCCCCACCTCCACCATCTTTCCTTCCTTGGCCGCCATGGTCCCCTTGCTCTGTTTGTTCTACTTGGCACCACCTCCTGAAGCCAGGCAGTTACTGCCCAGGGCGAGGGCGGCGTGGACGGTGAGCGAGGCCTAGGCCGGAGCACTGTGCGGGGAGCAGGCCGGAGGCGGGAGGCTTGCCGGAGGTTTGGGGAGGTGGAAAGCAGTCGTTTATCTCCCCTCTTCACGGAGCCTGCCCCGAGCATGAGTGGCTCGGCCTGAAAGCCATGTGGTGGATCCCGCCCCCATGTGCTCCCTGAACGTTGCATTAAAATCGAGGAGCCGTGTCACCACAGGGAGAGGGGGATGAGAAAGTGAAAATGTGTGTTCGAGGAGACATTTCGACACTCCGAGCTAATTTCACACAGGGAACTGAAAACAGCGAGAAAGAAAAAAAAGTGGAAACATGTTTAAGAGCCTGAAACTTTTAAGAGAAGGACAAAGCAAGCACATTTCGTGGGCATCGGAAAAATAGCAGCAAGAACTAAATAACCGATTAGGGAGACTGAGTTCAATGATGTTTTTTGAAACAAAAGGGAGTTGTCATATTATTGCTCTTAATTAAATGGCAACACACACACTTATAATGGGAACTAAATGCCTAATTAGAGGGTGCCTGGGGAATAAATAGCTGTGTGTTTAAACCTCCTGTGTAGGAAACATGGCCACCAATTGCACGAAAGGATGGGAAAGAAAGATAAGGAGCCAGACCTCAGGTGACTGTGCGAGTGGGATGAGTAGGTGAGGAGGTGCCCACCTCCCGCGTGAGGGCCGCTGCTCGGGGTCTCCCGCCCCGCCCAGCACGGGGTCCATTCTCCATCGTGCTCCCAAGAACCCGAGGGCTGGAGCATCTTGGGGAATGAGAACACTAGCGGACCTTGGAGGAGTATGACCACTGAGCAGGCCACGGAGACAGGACTTTGAGAGACGTGGCTTCGGTGTTGGGCGAGCGAGCCGATGGCGCCTTCCTTACAGACGGGAAAGGAGGCTGCACGTGAAGGTGTTGGCCAAAATGACCCAGCAATTCTCAGGGGAAAACCGGGAGGTGGGAGCAGGAGAGGCGGGCACTACCAAATGCTCGACTGCCAGGGCTGGAAAACAAAAACAAAGCCAAACTGTCTATAACTGGGATGGACGCCACAGATTCCACTACCGAGAGAGAGAGAGAAAGAGAGAGAGAGAGAGAGAGAGAGAGAGAGAAGAGAGAACCAGGGGAGAGACCAGAAATGGCAGGAACAGGGAAAGCTCGGGCCTTTTGGGTGTGAAACTCTGAGGTCATTGGAGAAACAGCAACAGTGGCAATGCAGCTGCTGGTACAGGTCCAGGCCAGCAACACTGTGTCCAGAGGGTCAAGCGATGACCCAGACATGGACACCCCTCCAAAGGCCCCTTCCTGCTGCCCTCCTTGGGCCGTTTTCCTTTGAAATGACCGCTTCTTGTTATCTGAGCATCAGGACGATGTGTCTGCCCGCTTTCTTCAGTAGCCCCGATAGGAAATCCATTCCCGGTCAGTGACATGAAAGGATTCCCCCTCGGGGTCGGCCGCGGGAGGACCCTCAGGCACCTGTGCGGGCGGAGTGAGGCCGCCTCAGGGACTCACAGGCTCACACCCATGACAGGCCCCATCCTGAGGTCCCAGGGGCGCCGGACAGCGGGCCTCCCCTCGGAGGCTGAGGTTTGGTCTCAGCCATAGCAAAGGGGTCTGCCTGGCGTGCCCCAGCTCACTGCTCGTGGAAATCAGGAGTGTAGACGTGACCAGGGGTTTCAAAGGTCCACTGCAGGGGGCAGCTTCGGTCACTCGGGAATCCTCTGCTCTCGGTTCTAAGGGTCAGATTTAATTTTAGGGAAATGAGTTTAGACACTACAAGTCAATTGGCCCGCGCAGACCGGCCAGCAGAGGCCTGGACAAGTGGAAGGAAGATGGGCTAGGTTGTAAACTTCCAGAAACAAAACCTTCTGGTGTTCAGACTTGGAGAGTTGAGAGCGTTGCGTGTTCGGGAGAAGGCATGGCTTGGCCAGGTCCTTGCTGTAGGCTGTCTTGCCCCAGCCGAGCGCCGTGGCCCTACGTCACTTTCTTAGGGTTTGGAGGTTTATATTTAGCCATGCATAATGGGTTTAAACGCAGAGCTTCCCGTCACTAACTTCTCTGTCGTTTTGCTTAATTTCGGATTGCTATTCGTGTGCAAACTAGCAAGGGTCACGTAACATGCATTTATTTTTGCAGTTTTTCCGTAAATGACACCACGGTTTAGGACACTCCTGATGTTTGCATTTGTCCCTTGACTGGCGTGTAGGTGGTGGCTCTCGGGGACGTTCCAGACGGAACGCTGGTCACCGTGATGGCCGGCAATGACGAGAACTACTCAGCCGAACTGAGAAACGCCACCGCGGCCATGAAGAACCAAGTCGCGAGATTCAATGACCTCAGGTTTGTCGGCCGGAGTGGAAGAGGTAGGTAGCTGAACTTGAATCACAAACTATTTACATGGCAACCGACCCAAATTTCAAAACCCCTAGATATTTCTGTGGTGGGAATCCCTAGAAACACAGCCTTTCTTGTTATTATTGCTACATCGAGCCTCTAAAAATATGAATTTAGAATTTAACATTTTTAACAGAACCTAGTTTTACATTATTGCTTTCTGATTGGCAGCATGTAAAACATGAATTTTGGATTTCATGTTCTTTATGAAAGTGTAAAAATATAAAACTAGGATTATTCAACAGGGGTTCTGTCTTTGATGATTATCAGAAATCTCTATAATGGGAGCCCTTAACTTGGGATCCGTGTGCTCCCTGTGGCAGGTGACAAGGTTTGAAGTGACCACGTCTAATAATTTTAAGGGAGGGGCCGTGCATGATTATTGAAATGAGGCCTCAGGTAAGCTTGCCCTTTTACAGTAAAATGTGAAGAAATGGCGGTTGGTAAGCTTGACAGAATATGACTTCTTAGTCCATGGAATGTGGGTGCCTTGCTCTCGCTTGAAGGGTTTGGCCCAGCTCACATGTCAGGGACTCACCATCGGAAAGACTGGATGATGCAGGAGAACCATTGGGTCCGGGCAGTTCTGTGTGTGGTGTTATTTGTATGAGAGCAGGAAGAGGAGTGGCTGTTGGCTCGTTGCAATCTCTTCTGCTTTCAAATTACTTTCAAATATTGTGTTTTCTCTGTATTGTAAGAACCCACGTCACACTTATAAATAGCAGTAAGCACTAGAAGTTTAATTGACAGAGGTGGGATCATTTGTTTTGAAAATCTAATTTTTATAATAGAAAAAAATATCATTTTGAGTATAGTAAAAAGACAAAGTAAACACCCAAATAATAGTAGATGATTGTTGTGTTAAAAAAGTAAAGATACAACCAATGGACATTTAAACAAGGGTCATCATTACTCTTCATGAAGGCATTCAAAAATCTAAGGAAATCTGTGTTCTTAGGGGTTTTGATTAGTTTGGAGACAGGAAGATGGTGAAGGGAGGGGTGTTTGGCTATTGTTTTCAAAATAGAATCATAGTGAGGGTAATTTAAAATACATAACATGATTGGAAATCTATGTTCATCGCCCTAACTACGTTAATAATAGGACAATGCAAAGAAAATTATATCCACTGATTGGAAGCATGAGGGATGCTATAAGGTATAAAGCATAAGCCATTAAATGGGTTCACTTGTTCTATTAAAAGTCCCCACCTCTCAGTAAATGGAACTCACATTGTGATTCAGAGATGTGTGTTTAGAAAACATCTTGAGGGCTTCGGGTGAGTAGCTGGCAGAGTGGGTGCGAAGCCGATGAAAACCAAGGCCCCACCTCCTGGTCCGTGCCTACCAGCCCCGGCTCCAGCCATCCCCGCTCCGTTCTTATGAGTTTCCACTCTTAGGACTTCATAGCTGGGTAACCTTCGGTGGCCTTTCCGGAGAAAGTGATATTAGCATCGTGTGGCTCTGTGTGGCTCTGTGTGTCAGGTTTGGGTGATAAAAAGTCGTGGAAACAATTCAGTGGCCAACCCAGCGACATTTTTCCACAAGAAGCTCCGTGGTGGCTTTGTGGCCACGCACAGCCAGTGGGTGGATGAGAAAGAATGAGAGTTGGAGAGCAGCCTGCTTCCTTTTCTGGCGTTGGGGGCTGGTCTCTCGTCTCGTTGGCCATTTCTGGTTGGAGTGGGTGACTAATAGGTGCTTGTGTTTACCTGGGGAGCAGGGAGCTGTTTCCCCAAGGCGTGGATTGTTTGCACTTGGCTGCCCGGTCCATGCCAGTGTGCCCTTGAGTTTGCATAAAAGCCGGAGTAACGTAGCTACAACCCTGGCTGGGCTGTCTCTGGTCACCTGGAATGAGACAATGAATTGAAGCGCCGTGAGTGGGCAGATCTGTGTTGCACGGTGTCTGCTTCCCATGAGTGATAGTCAGGAATCCAAACCACTGGAGCCCTAATTGAACGTCTGGCCCAGTTAAGGTTACCCTGTGTGTTGTTGGGCTTGAGTAATTTTTTTTTTTTTTTTTGGTCAGTGCTACCAGACAAAATTGAGCTGTCAGAAGGCCCTGTTTGTCCCAGAATTTCTCTCCACAGTCGTAAAATGCAGCTCGATTTTATTCTTTCAAGCGTGAGTGTCGACTCAACGCCTGCCAGATTTTTTTATTTTTTTGTAATTTGCTTCCCATTATGAAGAGAGCAGATGATTCTCTCTCATTTGGACAATTAGCCTCAATCTTCCACAGGGAACCGTGCCCTTTAAAAGTTTCATTACGTTTATTTTTTGTAAGTGATCTTAAGATGATTTTTCTGTTTTTCAAAATGTGCCTATAAACATGTCATTGGCATCGACACACCCCACAGGGGCCAAGGAGGCCCAGGCTGTTGGCTCACCCAAACATTTCCGTGCAGTTTCACACTGTCCCCAGGCACCGGCCGGCATCTCCACGGGGCCTGGGGCTCAGCTCCCACTGAGGGGAGAACGAGGAACTCCCTTCTCTGTCCTGCTGCCGTCCGGGGAGCTTGTGGAGCCTCGGAGAAGCTGCCGAGGCCGAACATGGAGGGGTTTTTGTGGTTTTTTTGTGCTTTTTTTCTGTTCTGCAAAACTGATCTGTCTGGGCACTGGCTGAGGTCCAGGTTCGCAGCTCTAACCTCAAGTTCAGCCTGCAACCGGGAGAACCTGCCCGTCCGGCTCTCACGGCCTCGGCCGGCCTGGCTGACTACTCTGTCCCCTAACGTCCATGGGTGAGGGCTTCGGCACCCCAACCTTCCTCCTTCCCCGCCGCCCCTCCTTGTGCTCCGTGTCAGTCGCACATCTTGCTCGGGTGTATGCGGCCTGGGCGTTTCCTGGCTCTCTCACATGGCGGCCCCATGGAGGGGCATGGTTCCCTGGCGAAGATGAGGTGGCTGCTCAGTGCGCTCACACTCACCCGCTCGCCCTGGGACGCCCCCTGCCCCCAGAAAATGGGCGTTCGGAGTCGAAGGGACTCCCAATGGCAGAGCAGATTAGCAGTTTACACCAGAAGTTGAGGCAGGAGCTACGGGTGTCTGCAGGTGTAAGCGGGGGCATCGCAGCTGCAGCGACAGACACTGCAGACGGTTTGGCCGGGGTATCCAGGAATGCTTCCGGCCCGGCCAGTCCTTCACCCCTCACTCGGGACCGGCTCCGGTTCATTCACTTAGAACCAAGCAGGAGGTCTACTGGGGAAGAGGGGCCGCGCAGATCCTCCTACCTCCCTAAGGAGGCGACTTCTCATCTGTCGGGAACAAAGTCCCCTGGAGGCCTTCTCCCAAGGCGTCCTGTGCAAAGTTGGTTTCTGGGGCCGCCGGAGCTAAGGCCGGAGCTTCCGGGGACCCATGGGCCCCCCAAGCCAAGAACCTGTGGATTCAGACCTTCACCTGGGCTGTGGGGGGCCCGCCCCGTTCTGTGCTGCACGCTGTAGACAGCTGGAGGCGCACCCGTCAGTGAACGAGAGAGACGCACCCCCTGGCACCGTGCTGCCGGCCGCTGTCTGCATGTGGCCAGGCCTGGTGTGCGTGTAGGACGGCAGGTTCCCGCAGGCTGAGCCGCAGACCCTGAGCTCTCAGTGTGCCTGCCGTGGCCCCGCGCGCAGGAAAAGG